AGCAGGAACTGCTCATGCTAAACATGCTGTTATTTCTGTTTTACAAGGCATTCTTGACTTGAAGCAGGTTGGATTCCATATATTTCTAATCTAATTTACATCTCAATAGTATTATACCCCATGCACCTGCATATTCCTTTTGCTGAGGCCTGTTATCTCAATGCTACCTTTTATCCCACCACTGGATTTTGCATAGGAATACTTGTTGCCATCTTGTGATCTACTGAGCATTAATATTCAAAATGTGCTATGGGGGTTGTGCTTCACTAAGCACATTCTCACCTGAAAGCAGTTTTTAATATAAACATTTGTTTAATATTCTGTACATTTAGAGTATTTTATCAGCATCAATGCTTTACTGAAAGTAATTTAAAGTCAGTGGGAACTGATTATGTATTAAAAATCAACCTTTTTCATAGGAGTTTTAATAATGCGTGCGCGCGCGCGCGCACACACATACACACACACACACTCTAAAACTAATATACATGATTGGTGACAGCACCTGGCATCCACATCTTGGCATTTCAACCATTTTAATATTCAGAAACGTGGACATTGGGTTTTACATTTTTAAAAACCTCCACAATGTGCTATGCAGCTTTTAAAGGTGTTTAATTATCAGCCTTCCTTTGAATAATAATATTTGTGTTATAATAAAAAATCTAAAAATAAATGTAGTGTTCTAGCAAGAACCACTTTAGCTCTTTGCAGCTAGAATAAATAAGCAGCCCAGGCGCACATGCTCACTGAATCCATTAAACATCTTGTATTGTTTTTATAAAATACTCTTTGAACTAAGAACTCCCCTGGGACCCAACTATTGCATGTTATTTTTTGCAGTGAAGTTTCAGTTGACTTTAGTGGAGAGTTCTATAAATAGACAGGTCACAAACGTGGGTTCATAGATGGAAACTTCAGGTGATCAGGGAAGCAATGTTGTCTAATAATTCAAATACGACTAGCTCTCCTCATGACTTACTGTACATAATTTATGTTATACTGGGCACATCTACATGAGGCACTACATCGCCATAGTAATGCACTACAGTGACATAGAATTGGTGGGCACAAACCTTGATGCTACAGTTACATTGCCATAGCAACATGCTCCTTCGCTATAGCACATTGCTACAGCAACATAATAGCTAAAAATAACTGTGTGCTGTCGGCATGGCACAGTATGGTCTATTACTGTTCTGTGATTTAGTACTTCGAAAAAGAAATACTAAATGATGGTGCAGTACCAATGGTGCTGTAGGGGACATGTAGACGCACCCACTGGGTTAGATTACAAGGTCATCTAGCTCAGTGTTCTATTGGAAGAGAGTGGATACTAACAGAAAGGGTATTATGCAGGCCTTTCAAAACTGATCTGCCCCTGTCACTGTTCCTTACAGTTTCCAATACCTGGAGGCAAAGGTAAGTTTGAAGCTTGCACCTTGATTGCCCCTCTTCATGCATTTTTCCAATCCTCCTTATCAGTGTAGTCTTGGACAAGATATACAGCAAAATTTTCCTCAGATCAGGCTCCTACTGCTCTAAATACCTAAATTATATCCAATATATGGCCTGATTTTCAACAGTGCTGAGCATTTGCAGATCCCAATTATTTCAAACTGAGTTTTGGGTGCTCAGTACCTCTAGGGAACATTTATATATAATTAGCATGTAAGTAACTAAATATAAGCATCCACATTTGAAATTTAACCTCTCAGGGCACATCTACATGAGACTATTAATGTGAAGCAATAAATTTTGGGGTAGTTTGTGCTGGATTTTATTGCTCCCAGGCACAGCGTTTACACATGTGCCTGGGACTGCAGAATGTTGGACTAGGGTGGAACAGCCCTGTGTGGCAGGGGAATCTGGGGGTCAGTCTGCCACCCTGGGGCTTCTGTGACCTGGCTCAGTGTGCTGGGAAGTCATAGAATCATAGACAATTAGGGTCAGAAGGGACCTCAGGATGTCATCCAGTCTAGCTCCCAAATAGATCATCCCAACCAAAGCTTTGTTTAACCAGGTTTTGAAAATCTCTAAGGATGGAGCTTCCACCACCTCTCTGAGTAACTTATTCCAGTGTTTTATTACCCTCCTAGTGATAACATTATTCCTAATATCTAAACTAAACTTCCCCTGCTGCAACTTGAGACCATTGCTCCTTGTTTTGTCATCTACCACCACTGAGAGCTAGGGCTGTGCAAAATTTTGCTGGTGGTTTTGTTTTCACGCTGTTTTAACTCATTTCAAGCTTGAAACAGTGAAATTGAAATGAAATAAAGGGCTTCAAAACAGCCTCGCAGTAAAACAAGGGCAGTTGAAGTTCAAGCTGGGCTTGCCTGCAGGGAACCAGAAAGTAAGGCGAGGGAGGGGGAAGGGGAGGGAAGGACTGCTCTTATATTGACTGTGTAGCTCGCCAGTGACTGTGATTATTAAATGATATGCTATTGTGGATGCCTTGAGGAGAGATAGTTTCATAGTTTCATAGTTTCAGGGTCGGAAGGGACCTAATATATCTTCTAGCCCGACCCCCCGCCAGGGTGGGAGAACAACTCAAAAAAACAAAACAAAACACAAACCCTAAAAACAAAAACGGGACTCAAATGAGTCCAGCCAGGTAAGTATCCAGCCTCTTCTTAAAGATCCCCAGGGTAGGGGCCAGCACCACCTCCCTTGGAAACTGGCTGCCCTAACTAGCCGCCCTAACTGTGAAGTAGTTTTTTCGGATGTCCAATCTGTACCTCCTCTCCATCAACTTGTGCCCATTATTCCTTGTTATGCCAGCAGGGGCTAGGGGAAACAGCGTCTCCCCCAAACCCTTCTGGTTCCCCCTAGTGAGTTTATAGACGGTCACCAGGTCCCCCCTCAGCCTTCTCTTGTGGAGGCTGAATAGGTTCAAGTCCCGCAGTCTCTCACTGTAGGGTCTGCCCTGTTGTCCCCGGATCATGCGGGTGGCCCTCCTCTGGACCCTCTCCATGTTGTCCACATCCCTCCTGAAATGGGGCGCACAGAACTGGACACAATACTCCAGCTGCGGCCTGACCAGCGTCGCATAGAGGGGGAGGATCACCTCCCTGGCTCTACTCGAGATGCACCTGTGGATGCACGACAAGGTCCGGTTAGCCCTGCCAACCATGACCTCGCATTGTCGGCCCATGTTCATCTTGGAGTCAATAATGACACCAAGATCCCTTTCCGCCTCCGTGCTCTCAAGTAGGGAGCTCCCCATCTTATAAGTGTGCTGCTGGTTCCTACTACCCAAGTGCAGCACCCTGCACTTGTCCGTATTGAAACGCATCCTGTTCCTGTCTGCCCACCCCTGTAACCTATCCAGATCCTTCTGCAATCTCTCTCTCCCTGCTAGCGTGCTCACCTCCCCCCAAATTTTGGTGTCATCAGCGAATTTAAACAGGTTGCTCTCCACCCCAACATCAAGATCGCTGATGAAGACATTGAACAGCGCAGGGCCCAGGACCGAGCCCTGAGGGACTCCACTACCCACCTCCCCCCAAGTCGAATATGATCCATCCACCACCACCCTCTGAGTGCGACCCTTCAGCCAATCTGCAATCCATCTGACCGTGTAGGCGTCTATGCCACAGTCGCCTAGTTTATTAATTAGGATGGGGTGAGAGACGGTGTCAAAGGCCTTGCTGAAGTCCAGAAAGACTACATCCACCGCGACACCTGCGTCCATGGCCTTTGTGACCTGATCATAAAAGGCAATCAGGTTGGTCTGACATGATCTCCCCCTAATAAATCCATGCTGATTGCCCCTGAGCATCATTTCTGATGCCGGCCCATCACAAATGTGCTCCTTGATGATCTTCTCAAAGAGCTTCCCCAGGATTGAGGTAAGACTGACGGGCCTATAATTGCCCGGGTCCTCCCTTTTCCCTTTTTTGAAGATGGGGACCACATTAGCTACCTTCCAATCGTCTGGCACCTGGCCCAAGCACCACGATCGCTCGTAGAGCCGTGCCAGGGGCCCTGCAATAACCCCAGCCAGCTCCCTCAGCACCCTGGGGTGGAGAGCATCCGGACCCGCTGACTTGAACGCGTCCAGCCCCTCCAGAAGCTCTCTAACCCGGTCCTCCCCAACCTGAGGTCTGAAGGCGATCCCCTCGCGTCCGGCTTCTATCACAGCAGGGAAGTCCCGGTCCCTGCACAAGAAAAAGGAGGTGAAGAATTGGTTAAAGAGGTCTGCTTTATCCTCTGACGCAACCACCAGATTGCCCCGCATATCCTGCAGGGGCCCCACATTACCCGGCGCCTTCTTCATCCTCCCAATATATTTGAAAAGGGACTTTTTGTTATCCTTAATCCTGGACGCTAATCCGAGCTCTATATCCGCCTTGGCCTTCCTAACAATCCCAGTGCTCTGGGGGAGGGATGGAAAAACAGCACAAAAGGCAGCATTGTTTGAACTGGCCTTTCTGCAATGGGGTCTGACAGTTACTGAACTATCTTTCAGCAGCTCAGGAGCATTAGACAATGAAGACTACTACTAGCATTGATTTGAATGATTTCCTAGTTGCTAGCCTAGCCCAGCAAGTGGCATTCCAGTATACCTTTTTCTTTCTTCTAGACCCTTTTATTTTATTATTATATTCATTGATTTATTCTTTTAAATTTTATAAATATATTGGATATTACACTCTAGAATTTAATTTATATAGGAAGGGAGATAAATTGATATTTTATTTCTATACATTTATACCTTGCTGCATAGACTACACACCTTACAGAATTTATGTAGAAGCACAGATACAATTATATCTTGTAGCATAGGCTGCACAACAACAAGCAGCAGCACCAGCACCAGCATGACAGTCTCCTCCACCCACCTATCACTTCTCATGCTGAGCCTTCCAGTGCCAGAGAAAGAGCTGGAGCTGGATCTGACTGCCCTAGCAAGAAAAATTCTGGGGAAAGGAGGGGGAATCAGCTGAGTTTGTGTTCC